TCTTGCGTGATATTGATAACTCTATACCGACTAGTTGATTTACCATCTTCTAGGATTATTTAATCGGCTTAGAACCGAAAGGGGAGGAGCCGGTAGAAATAGATTTGCATGAACTAGGCTTGTTCGTAACTGTATTGCCTAGGAGTTAACTGATTCGTTAATTTGCCGTTCTAGTTTATTCTCTTGTTACGAATAGTTATTGGGAATGAATGCTTGATCTGGTAGATTAATTGAATTTCTTAGCTGAACAATTGCTCGCCCGGTAGTTGCATGTCGAACCAAAGCAGGAATCCCCGACTCCCTAGCTTCTTCATCCTTATTTGTTCTTCGTGATCTTCTGCTATTTACTTGCTTTACTTTTTTTATTCGCAGTAGTGTATAATTAAAACCAACCAATCTTTGATTTAAAATGTTTAGGATTTTTATTTCTTTTATTTTCCATTCTTGTGTTTGAATAATCGTACGAAATAATCCGGCTGACCTTCCTCGAGAGACACGACCCGGTGTCGAATCTTTTGATTTAACTCCGGTAAAAATATCCACAACAAATTGGCGCCGTTGCCGGGGAAGGTTTAGGACGTATTTTGTGCGCTTATTCAATTTACTTTTTCGTGTTTCTCTTGTGTTCTTTTCAATTGTTAGGTGTTAGTTCTTTATTTTCTTTTATTTTTATTTTATTCTCTTTTATCTATCATTGGTGCTCGTAACTCTTGTTGGTTTAGTGTATGCGTACCAGGAGTGGACGCAAATTGTTATCCCCGATCAATAAGTCAGTCAGCGAGAGCCTGAGAGAGCTGTTAGACGAGCTTACACGGGAATCCGAAGAGAAAGACCAGCAATCTCCAGAATCGTCAGAAGGCAGCAACGTCAACATGGGTGACCAACAGGAACAAGCTCCTCGTAACACTCTCCGAACCTTAGCCCAGCCGGTTATCGGGCCTGTCACTTCGTGCATCCGTCTGCCGGATCAAGCACGAAATTATGAGCTGAAGATGATTCACTACAACCAGCTGCCGGCATTCCATGGGCTCCCGAGTGAAGATCCACTTAACTTCATCCGGGAGTTCTACAATGTGCTCAATACCTTTCCTCTCAACGGGCTGAACGAGGATCAATTGAAGATGAGGTGCTTCCCCGAGACGTTAAAAGATCGGGCCATGGCCTGGTTCATGACACTTGCACCAGCATCTCTGACCACCTGGACTGAAGTCTACACGAAGTTCATTGGGAGATACTACTCCCACCAAAAGACTCAGGAGCTCCGGTCTCAGATTGTCTCGTTTGCCCAATCACCGAGTGAGCCCCTTCACGAGGCCTGGGAGCGATTTAAGGATCTCCAGCGGCAATGCCCTCACCATAATCTTTCGCCAGGATTGTTGATGAATTGTTTCTACGACTCCCTCAACCAGAATTTGCAATATATGGTTGATAATGCTGCGGGGGGAGACATTGGTGCAAAGACTGCCGAAGAGATGTATGAGATCTTTGAGACGATGAGTGCAAATTCGTCTCAGAAGAGCATCAGAGGAAAGAGGACTTCAGTGAATGAGGTTGGCTCAAGCAATAGTGCCATGGCCCAACAGTTAGCCGAGCTTACGGAGCAGATGCGGCTATTGAATGCTCGAAGTTCCTCACCGATTCAGACGATGGCGGTGAATGTTTGTGGTACATGCGGGGTGCAAGGACACAGTTCTGAGGTGTGCCCAACAGCAATCGAACCGGGCTACGGAAGCCAGAATACCGAAGTTAATGCATTGCAGAATTTTCAGAATCGGCCCGGAAACGACCCCTACTCGAACACGTATAACCCGGGATGGCGCAACCACCCTCACTTCTCATGGGCCAACAATCACTATCAGCAGCCACCTCAAACCAACGTCGTCCCCCAGCAGCAGCAACCCAGGGGCATGTTAAGGCTGCCAGCATCAGAATCCGGATCAACCCCATCGAGCACAGACGAAAAGCTGGACAAAATCCTCAATTTTGTCACAAATCATGACGCTTCCATTAAGCGTCTTGAGACACAAGTGGGCCAGCTGGCAACACGGGTTGGGAACATCGAGACAGAGATAGACAAAGGAAAATTGCCGAGCCAGCCGGAGCACGCAAAATCTGTGACTGTGATTATGCCCGAGCTAGAGGGTCCAAGAAAGGGGGACCAGAAAGCAGAGATCCTAGCTTCACCATTACCCGAACCAGCCCTACACAAATCTCCGAATCCGTACAAACAAAAAATCCCTTTCCCGAGCCGGCTCTTAGAAGAGAAGGACCGCCGAATGATTAGAGACTTGCATGCGATGCTGGCTAAGGTCAATGTCGACTTATCCCCACCTGATGTGATCAAGAAGATACCGGAGTATGCGAGGTTTTTCAAGGAATTGGCGGCAAATAAAAAGAGGCTCGAGAGCAGTGATGAGGTGCTAGTGTCAGAAGCGGCAAGTGTCTTTCACCATGACTTGCCGAAGAAAGAAAAGGACCCCGGAGGCTTTGTCATCACTCTGGCCTTCGGGAATGGGGCAGAGACTTCAGGCATGCTCGATTTGGGGGCTGGAATTAACCTCATGCCACTTGCAGTTTATCATAGGCTCGGGCTTGGAGAGTTGAAGCCCACAAGAATGCGCCTACAGCTGGCTGATAGGTCATTCCGTCATCCCGAGGGTATTATCGAGGATGTGCTCGTCCGAGTGGGGAAGCTGATAGTCCCCGTGGACTTCGTTGTGCTCAACATGGGGAACGTGCAAGAAAATGTGAAGCAGCACACCACTCTCCTTGGTCGACCTTTCATGGCTACCACGAGCACTGTCATAGACGTGAAGAAGGGGACGACAAGTATGACGGTTTTAGGCAACTCCATTGCTATTTCGGTTAGAGAGACCGGGCCTGAGCCGCAGGCGCATGTGGTTGAAGAGTGTGCTTACCTCAGGGCAATTGAGCAGCTGGCCGAGGACGCGTGCATGCGAGAGCACGCTAAGAGAGCATGGCAGGACCGAGCTACAAATAAGAAGGAGTCCCATACTGACCGCCAGCTGGACTTTAGTGAGTTGCCCCGATCCCTATGGTGCGAAAGGTCTGACTTGACGAAGGCCCGCCGCTGTTTGGGGCCTGACCACCTCCACCCTCCACGAGCACCACCGGATTCACATTGACTGGTCTAGTCACTGTGTCCTGTACGTTTGTATCTTTTCCCTTCTCTTTATTTTCGTATTTGGTTTTGTGTCTTTGTTTTTCTATTCTTGTTGATTGATTATATGAGTTAACTTCCCTTGAATTTAAGATCGACAATGGGGACATTGTTCGATTTTAAGTGTGGGGGAGTTCTTACATGATTATGTACTTATATGGTTGATCAGGTCTAGGTCTTTTAGGTTGTTTTCTTTATTTTCTGTTTTCGTTTGAGTGTCTTTTCTTGAGTCAGCTTGTGTGTTTCTCAAGTATGGATAATAGTGATTTTGAGATTTGTCGAGAATTGATGATGATGTTGAGGAGATGTGATGATGATCATGACTAGTATATTTTGATGAACTTGATGTTTCGTTTTGTTGGACATTACTTACCCTATGAGAGGTTTGAGCCTTATTTTG